AAAGTTTACACTACTGGGGAGGAGGGGCTCATTAATAGATAAGTAAAGTAAAGTTTACACTACTGGGGAGGGGGGCTCATTAATAGAGAAGTAAAGTAAAGTTTACACTACTGGGGAGGGGGGCTCATTAATAGTTAAGTAAAGTTTACACTACTGGGGAGGGGGCTCATTAATAGTTAAGTAAAGTTTACACTACTGGGGAGGGGGGGCTCATTAATAGTTAAGTAAAGTTTACACTACTGGGGAGGGGGGCTCATTAATAGTTAAGTAAAGTTTACACTACTGGGGAGGAGGGGCTCATTAATAGATAAGTAAAGTAAAGTTTACACTACTGGGGTGGTGTTCCACTTAAGTAGGCTCAGTAGAAAAAAATTCTCTCAGAATTTTATGATAGGTGTCTTCAAAAATTATCTTCATAATAAGAGTGTTGCTACTGATTTAATCTTAACTCAGTTATGTGAACATAAAGGTGAACATTGGTCCAACTGAGTTAAGATTAGATGGACCAATGTTCACCTTTATGTTCACATAACTGAGTTAAGATTAAATGGACCAATGTTCACCTTTATGTTCACTGAGTTAAGATTAAATGTTATTGTATCTTGTGTTATTATGGTGTTATTATGATTGCTATAGTTACTAAACCCTAAAATATGCTACTGATCCTTGCAGTTATTTTTAAGCTTATGTAGAATTGCAAATAAACTTTTATTATTTTCATTTTACTGTAGTATATTTTGTTTGGAAGCCTTATCACTGCGCTTTGCTTATGTTTTATTCAACAGTTTTGATTGGTTGGTTTCTGCCGAAGATGGGGGAAAGGAGTGAGAACAAGGTAGAAAACACAAACTATAAGGTTTTTATTTATTTAAATATTTTGTTTATTTTTAACAGACAATTAGAATTATTATACTATACTATTTTTTTTTTTTGTATAACAGAATTTAATTAATCCTTTTCATAATACTATAACTGTTGTTAATCTGTACAAGGAAACCTGTTCTTTTGAGAGGATTTTCCGTTTATTGGATATATATATATCTTCAGTTAACTAGCTTAATCTTTTCAATTATAAATCCCTTTTATTAACGACATTGAAATAGTGCTGGATTTTATCTTTAATCATCAAAGGCTGTTTGTTGTTGTTTGGAATTTCTAAGTGTTTCAAAAAAATCTTGATTTTATGTGCACCAAATGGAGCAAGAGTGGTGGTACGGTGAGTAGAAACTGAGTTCTGAGTTGGAGAATAGAAGCAAAATAAGTAAAAAAAAATCTATCAAACCGTTATTTTGCTTGATATAAAAAACACTAGGAAGGCTAACATTAGCAAGCAAATGGAATACCCTCTTCCATCCACCTTATTCAATAAGATCCTCAGAATACGGCAGATTTCAAGAGAAGGGGCATAAACTACAACATACGTACATCAGAAGGTTAGACACGAACACATCACCCTGTTGAGGCTTCTTTGTGAGAACAGTGTATTGGAGAATACTGAATTGTAACCTTATGAAACATAGGACAGTCAATTTTTGCACAAAGAGATTTATTCACAATTGTAAAGCTGTTAGTTGTTAAATATCACATCCAGGAAACATGGATTATGGTCAAAAATATTATTACCAGAGAAGGTACCCAATTGATGAAACAATGCATTCTAACCTTTATAAGTAGGAATGTAAGAAAGTTATTTATTTAGCTATACTGATTCTTAGTTTCGCTCTAAGTGGGTAGCTCGCTCTTACCAGGAGTTAAATACATAGAACTTGTGAAAGGATTAATATTAATTAAGTGGACCAATGTTCACCTTTATGTTCACATTTTGAAACAGAAATTAGTATTATCTTTTTTAAAAAATAAGGGATAAAATAATGGAGGAACAGTTTCAGAATACCAAAGTTGTTTCTTTAATGAATTATGGTTACTTAAGAAGTAAATAAACGAAATCTTATAATGCCCTTAACAAAAATGAAGAAAGGTGATAACAAAAAATTGTAACATTTTTAAAAAATGGGCTATCCTAAACAAGATTCTTCTAACAGTAACATTGGCTTCTATAATCATATCAGTAAGTTTTAAATGCAACAGAAAAATAAGCCATTTGTAAGATTATCACGAAGTGCAATAACACAACTACAGTTAATTGATGAATAATAATTTCAAGATTAATTATAATTAATTCATATTTTACGAACAAATGAATTAATTTTATTTTGTAAGCCGCTTCAGTCATACGCAGATCAGAATTAGAATGAGGAAGAAATGAGAACAAAACATGTACATGAAGCTTTTAAAAGGAAGGAGGTAACACCCAAATTATATTGAGGTTTTTTAAGTAGTAACTGATAATAAAACTTATAATACATAATTATTTTTAAGTATGAGAATTAAATGGTACTAATCACAAAATCCATTAGTTACATAATATTTCTTACTAACACAATTCATGATATACACAATAATTCCACAAAGACGTAACAATATTTTTTGCGCGAAATTCAAAACAAACAAACAGATAAACACAGTATTACTTCGTAGTAAATAATTTGTCGAATCTTCTGTTTTTCTGCGAATCTAGCCCATTGCTGCAAGGGAAATCAGTTTGACCACAATATACCACACGTGTATGATAAGGTGCCTCAGAATTTTATCTTGACAGTGACAGTTTTTTGTTTTACTTTTCATGTCACCGAACTTTAGCAGTTTTAAATCATTATAAAATATTATCGAGTTTCCTAGAGATGAAAGAAAACCCTCTTGTTTTATTATACGTCATATGTAAATAAGAAACAAGTAAAATTACGAAGAATATTATAATTAAACGAAAGTTGAAAATAAGGAATTATATTTGTTCACATTGTGCTTGTACTTTTAACTGTAATACTGTCAAGTTATAGCAGCTCTTTCGGTCACCACCTGGCGTCTTATGAGGTCAAATCAGTAAAGCGTGACGGAGGGAATATACGTATAGCGCTGGTTAGGCACATGTTCAGGTAGAAATTGGTGATAAAGCTTTTCTTCTGAAGTTGTACACGTTCTACAGTGGGCTAAAATTGTGAATGAAAGTAAGTGTTAGCCATTTCACCATCTTTAGATATAAGTCTGTTTAGTTGATACCCAAGATAAAAAGTATATATTAAAAGAAAAAACAAAATACTTTATATAATTTTTAAAATAAGGACTGACAACAACTTTTAAATTCCAAAAATCAGCTCCAGATCTATTATACTTACAGTAACAAATTGATTCTTTACGGAAGCTGGGATAATGTTAAACCAAGTAGTAGTTTGAATTAGAAGTTAGAACGAACTCTTAAAAACCCCATTAAATTTTAAACATTATGTTAACGAACTTTAGAGAAAAAGTTTTATTTCGCGACATTTACTATGCAAGTGTAAATCCGTAAAAAAAAGCGTTGAAAGGTAGTACTTTGTTTTCACGATTATTTATTAAGTGTCCTATTAAAAATAGTAATGGTTCACAAACGTTTGAATACACCGCGAAGACGAATGAAAATTCTGCAAAGGGCAAATAGTAACGAGGCGTTTTGAAGCCATGACGTCGCTAACACAGTATTTGTTTGTAGTTAGTTGTAACTAGTTAAAGGTGTCTACAATTTTCCAAACAATGGTATTACAATATCGACGAGTTATTTATTGTATTGACAATTTTCCAAACAATGGTGTTACAATATCGACGAGTTATTTATTGTATTGACTATTTTCCAAACAATGGTGTTACAATATCGACGAGTTATTTATTGTATTGACAATTTTCCAAACAATGGTGTTACAATATCGACGAGTTATTTATTGTATTGACAATTTTCCAAACAATGGCGTTACAATATCGACGAGTTATTTATTGTATTGACTATTGTTTATTAACGTAGCGTGACAAGATGGATACTTGTGGAAATATTTTAAATTAATGACTTTATAAACTGCAAAACTTACATTATGCTTGCAATGAAAACATTTTTTTATAATGTTGAGTGTAACGATTATTTGTTAGTTTGGAGATTAGTTCAGGATAAATATTTATTAATTTATAAATGTTTGCCATAAAACAAGTTTTAGGTTACCGCCTATCTTATCTTTATATGTAAGAACATAAAGTATAGTTAAAGAGCTATACTCATTACCAGGTTGATTTTTAGTTTCCCCTCTTAAGTAGTTCTCTGATCGGAAATTAATATTAATATATCAAAGTCTGGAATTGCTGACCACAGTTACATCACAATTGCAATAAATCAATTAGATATATTGTTGAGAGTAAAAGATTACTTGTTTGTGGGGAGGTTAATTAAAATAAATTGTAATTATTTATTGAAAAGATCTTAATCTTAATCTAAGTGATAGCTTTGTCAATAACTTAGTTTTTAACAAAACTGTGAAACTGGTTGACCATGTGTAAAGGAACTTGTATTTTATTCCTTTTGTTAGTTAAGAATGATAAAACTTACTTATAATCCTTCAAAGTTTTTGAACAAAGAAACAAACATTACCAATATGTATGATACATAGTTCAGAGTGAAATTTCTACCTCTTTGGTTTATAAGTGTGAATAATTAAAAAAAACAAACAAAAACTTTTAACACACGACTTTATTATATAACAGTAACAGTTTGTATTATATGTAACTGGTTAATTACATTGCACTAACTGTTGGTTTGTATATTATCATTCTTCAAATACCAGTATCATGTGGTGCTAATTTTTTTTCCTTTGTATCATTGTTCTTGTACGTTTACTAAAGGAAAGAATAAACCAGTTTTATTAAGTAAGGACTTGTGTCGCTAAAGTTTCGTCAGAACGAAGTTACGGAAAGTTAATTAACAAACGGTAAAGTTATATTCAGCGATACACTTAATTTCAACAATCGCGCTAAAACAAACGCTATAACAACGAACGTGCTCAACTTCAATAATACTCTCTGACTGCTGATCAATTACTCACTGTCTACACACATTGTTGTCACGTTGTGACCCTCTTATATATACCAGACTACCTTATATATCTAGTAATCTCCCGACAATTCCCGAAGGTTCGAGAGAACGAGTCACGTGACCTCGCTGACGCAACAATAGGAAGAAATTCAATCAAAATTTGATATTTTATATCTCGTGTGTTTCTTAATCGAGTGTCTTGAAATTTGGTATGTGAAATAAGAGTCTACTAGAGAACTTCCACTTAAAATGTGGGATATTTTAACTTTCCACAGTCCGAGCTACAGAAAGTAGAAAATTGCTAAACGATCACTCCTTTTAATAACATACTTTGTCGTGCGGGTTATTTTGACCTCACGACACACTACTGTGTGTCTTGAGCTGATTTGCTTTTAAGAAAAACAAGTTATCTTGAGTAAGTTAAGTGAGTGCCTCACTGCATTCAAACGAGAACTATGAAAAACACAATAATTTAAATAAAAGTTTGTATTAACTAAGGGGGGAACTAATGCATGGCACAGTCGTGTATAACAGTTACATGAATATTTTTACTTTTAAGCACATAAATCAAAATAAATTGAGAAGTTACAACATGAACCAAATGATAACTTTTGTTATCCTGATTTTAGTTACACCAAATCAGTGGCGATTCTACGGGGGAGGGGGTATATTTTTATAAGCTAGTGTTAAAGATTAGAGTTATCGTTTCATTTATCAAGGAAATTCTGTAAGTATGTTTATTTGTGAGATAGGCATACTTACCATAGTCTTGGAATTTGTGTTGAAACGTAGTTTGTGCACTTAAGCCTACAACAACAAATGAAAGTAGTCTTTAGCAGTCGGTTAAATCTTAGCTGTCTTTTAAAATGATAAATTCTTCTTTGAAGTTACGATTAATGTTTACATATATATCCACAGTTTCCCGTTATGCATTATTTTCGTATGCACAGTACAGAAGTTAAATATTTCTCTCAAGAATTGTGTGGATAGATCACTCGTTTTACTGATATTTCTGACCAAATGTAAATACTTTAATACAAAAATCAGATCGTTTTAAAGCTGCTTATTTTTGGTATCTCAGAAAATTTTTTTAGTTTAAAGTTCATCAATTGATTTATCATTATTATTTTGACAAACCTCACAACCTATAATTAATTTAAGCTCCAAAAGGCCTTTATTACAGTTTTGTTTACGACTGAAGCAAATTTTAGCTAAAGGAAGCCGCCCCAGTGGCACATCAGTATGTCTGCGGACTTACAACGCTAGAATCCGGGTTTCGATACCCGTGGTGGGCAGAGCACAGATAGCCCATTGTGTAGCTTTGTGCTTAATTACAAACAAAACAAAAACAAAAAGCTAAAGGAAATATTTACTACTGAATCTTTAAACCATTGAAAAAATTCACTTTTTGTAACATTCAATTACAATCAGAGTGGTAGTCTCAATTTTCGTGATTTCCCTTCGAGTATTCTGGAAATAGCTGCAGAATAACAGGAGGATTGCCAGGTAATCTTATATGAAATAAAACCCGATTTCCCTTAACCGAGTTTAAAGGAAAGAAAGAGCTTAAGGAAAGCGAAACACTTTTTATTAAAGCATTTCACAAACAAAGAATCAAAGCTCTTAAAAGTAACTTTATCTCAGCACCTTTACTGGAATGTGTGTTATAGTGGATCTCAATATTCTTTGAAATATCTCTTTTCTGAATGGATATATATATATATAAATAATTGTCCCAAACTGAAAAAATGTGACATTATACAGAGCAAGCAATAACTGCCAGATTCTCCCATGGTACAGGTGCCATCCACGTAACTGAGAGCCACTCTCATTATGTGGTATCCTTGCGGCATTACCTAACTTTCCGGTATAAAAATTCACTATCACAGCAATACTTTCTAATACAAAACATGTGCTAACTGTACAGACAGACCTTGTTCTGTGAGTAACTGGAGTGAAAGGAAGTTTACTGGCTCCCCTTGTGGAATATAGGCATTCCACGTTTTCTACATTCTGAATTTAATTCAGACTTTTTCACAAGTTTTCGTTTGCTCTAAGTGGGTGAAGATTTTGCTTAACACATGGTAAGAAATTCGTTCAATTTATTTTGTTCTAGCTTCTTCCAACTATCAGGTGATAGCTCGAGGTTACAACATTCCTGATGTTTCAATAGGATTGGACAACAGTGTTCTAGGTGACGATTGCACATTAGTGGAATAGTATCATAGCATTTGGTACATAATACCATGATCTCTTAGTTTATCTCTCTTTCTCAAGATCAAACAACAAGTCT